AAAATAGCTATGAAGCAATTGCCGTAAATTTCTGCAAAATTTATTCATATAATTGTAATGCAAATTATAATTATAATCAATGCAAATTATAATTATAATCAATGATTAGGATCTAATCAATTTTGCATGTGACTTTTTTTGTAAGTCTTGAAGTCACGCTTTATCAAAAGCTATTTCGTAAATTGGTATAACATCCCAATATTAATAACAATGCATTCAACTTCATCCAAGGTGCTCGACCATGCTTTGGTACTTATATTTAAAACAAAAGTTACGCGTTTTTATGCGTTTCTGTTTCCTCGTCATGTGTAATAGACTACACTTTTTTTTGTATCGTTCTACAAGCGTTCTACGGCGTCACGATCATGATACGAAAACGCAACCGTACTTCTGATTTTCTTCATTAACCTCAATCTAGCTGAATTTCGCCGTTGCGTTTCTCACCACGTCGATTTTGTAGCTTCAACGCTACTCGCCCTTCAGCTACAGAAACGTATCGGTTTCGCGAGCTTGAGAGAGTGCTTCTGGTTTTGCCTGACATTGATCGCGGCTGTGCAATGCCCGAAAATCTATCTGATAAATTGGCAGCGCTGCTATTAGCATTTGTCATCGTTGCGGCGTATTAACGCAAATTTCGCCGTGCATTTGGCACGGTAGCAATTGGAACGGCGTATCGAGGCGATAAACGATCTCGGGAGACAGTGCTAGCTCGGGTATACGTCATTATCGTTAACTCCCTGGTTCACAAATACTTTGAAAGTTAACGAGTAAATTCTGGTCAAGTAAGTGAGATCATTCCTTTTTTCCTTATGCATATAATAAACACTTAAATTCGTAAATAATCCGGAATGTTCTACAAATTCTTACATATAGAACAAAATGTTAACAATGTTAGCAGATTAACAGCAAATTTGATTAAATTTGCATTATTCACAGGTCATCTATCACATCAGTTCATTTATTTGATCAAGTTTTATCAACTCTGCTGTCAATCTGTCAATATTGTTAATATTTTGATTACTAAGTGTGTATATATATATATATATATATATATATTTTAAAATCATTTTTGTATATATATAAATTCCGATAAATCTAATAAATTTATATATATTTAATTATTAAGAAATATATATATAAATTAATTAAATTTATCGGAATTTATATACATACAAAAATGATAAAAATAAATAAATATAGGTATAAATTAGAAATAAGAGACATTAATTAATAAGAATGTAGATCTTAATAATCCTTAATGACAAAATTGTTATGTTATTTTGAAATTGAGAAACTTTTATAACTTTTAAAAGAAATCAATATAATATAAGAGTAAGATAGAGAGGATATGTCTGTCAGTTAGCTAAAGTTTACAAACGAACTCGAGTCGATATTTTCAAAAGAAAGAACAGAGAAAATGTTTCGACAAAGAATTATTAGAAGAACCCTGATAACAATGACAATGGTGATTGTGAACCTGCAATATCCGTTGCGCTATTATCATGGTCTCTTTTGATATATTCGCATTACACAAAAGCGTCGCAAATACATATATTACAATGTATGTTGACGACGAAACATTTCGTTCATATGAAAGGATAAATTACTGGTTCCCGTATTTCATGCTGTAGTAATTATCTCGTATTTCATATTGTAGTAATTAAAATTACTTCGATAAAATTAGAATGTATGTAATAATGATCAATTTATCGAAATAATACAAAATTTGAATACGGCTAATCAAATCACGCGATACGCGAATTAAATTGCCCTGAAATGGGATAAATGTATGTATGTATGTCGCGTTTCGCTCTAACAAATTATTATTCGATATATAAATCTGTATTATATTTCGATTCCTATAAAAGGCAGATGAATTGTTTAAATGTTAATGTAGACGAATTCAATTAACTATCTTATGACCGAAAATCACTTTAATTATAATCTCGCGCGGACGTACTGACATTTGGAATTCAACATAAGCTTTAATATAATCCGTATTAGCTCTTTCGTCGTTAAAGGTGATTATAATTCACCAACGTGCTTGCATCTTTCACGCATGAGAATGATTAAAACTTTGTTTTGCAGTTTATAATAGAGCTAACAACGTAATCAACCTCTAAATAAAATCCTAATAAATGGCTTTCAGGTGCTCTTTATCCCTCGTTTAAATAACGATAATTTTTCAACGTACTACGTATTGTACAAAGTAATATATTATAAAAATTGAAAAAAAAGAGCCAATCTCTCAACAGAGACAACTTTAAATCAAATCCGTAATTATGAGAACGTTTGCAGTTTGTGGGGACAAATGAGTGGAAATGAGAACGTGTCAGATTATGAAAAGAACAATTTAAGCGTATGGGAGTACCTGGTCGAGAAGAAGTATACGAAGATTTATAACGCAGTGGGAAGGAAAACGAGCTTCCTCGCTGACATACAAGAAACCGTGAACAGTGTAGAAAAAATAAATAGCACTCGAGAACTTCTTTATACATATAGATGAGGCTACACCGATTAGATAAATACTAACAAATTGCGCTGGTCAAAAATTCGGCAAGATATGTAACAGAAGTTAATAATATAATTTTATATATTATTAATATAATTGCAATGTTATCTACAATTGCAAAATTGAGAGTAAAATCGAGAGCATCGAAACAACTGATAAACAATTAATGTTTGATATTAATTATATATATAATATATAAATATTAGCAGAGATACATGCGTATTAATACTTTACTGTGTGTGTTACATTTTATACGTAGAACTCATTCCAAAAATGAACTGAGGAAATTAACTTTCACGCTTTATGATGTCGCAGTGATTTCTACTTATTTTTATTGAAATATTTCCCGCGAGTATTGTATTGTGTACCTAACAATACCATTGATATATGACGTTCAACATGAGCGCAACGAGAAAAATCGACTAGTTTGTAAAAGCAAGAACGGTGAGAGTGCCTTAGAAAATAAGTTTTGAAAATATACGACAAAATATATATCAAAATCGAAAATCTTGCACGTAGAAACGCGAGAGAAATTACTTTCGATTCAACATATTTTATAAAATGTTTTGTTTCGTGTCTATATAAATTTTAGTGTTGCAACGAGCTGGTAAAAATCAATTTTCGGCCATAAATAGATACGTACAATGTAATATCGATCGTATTATTTGCTTCTTATCTAAGATAAGATCTCCGATTTTAATAACAAAAATAATAATAATCGCACTATAATAACATACCATTCGGTAACACCGTCGCACGCGATATCTGAGCGTATCTGATGTTTTGAACGCGGCAGATGTAGTTAGATGAAATTAGATATTATTACAAGGCTCCAAGTTGATTGTGCTTAAATTATACGTTTCGAGATTTTTAATCCCGTTTGCTCGTTAACCACTTGCAGTTTGCTTGTATGTCAAGGACGGAGTTTAGCTCCTATCGCACAATTATGAATTACTGGACCACGGAATGTAGTTTTCGACTATTTTTGCAACTGACCGATTTGCATATAAGAAACGTTTGCTTCGATTGATGTGAGTTCGCGTGACTTTCTTGAAAAATAAAAGCAAGTTACTTTCGACGGCTCAAAAGTAATTTTTATAATTATATCCGTCGATTAAAGAGTTATATAAAAAATATTGCATTTGTTGTAGAAACTATTGCATAGTGTGTACCAATAATATTTTGTCATATATCAAACGATTATTTTACGCTGTATGTAAAATAAATGTTGTAAAAACGAAAAAAAAAAACAATATGTTATAGTCACTCATCCTCATGACAAGATAATTCCAGTTTATGGTGCACATAAACTGAATATTTGAGCGGAACGCACTCTAACGGATTATAAATCACCATCACGAGAGAGATTCATCTCGATGGCAGTTATGTTAGCAAAAATGGACTATAATATCATATAACATTCGTCGCGTCACGACTCAATCCTAAACAAATAAAAACTGTTATCCTGCATTCGATTTTTTAATACAAATATACCTACATGTTCTACCATTACTAAAACATATATTGAAATAACAATCGCAATTTATTCAATTTGTATTATATAGTTTATCAAGTTGTTTTTCGCGTTTATTTTCTTTTGTTGCTATGTAAATTTATTTTAAATTTATAAAAAGCGTCTTGTTTTCTATGTATAATGTTATCGCGATCTCTGAAGAAATATATACGATTAAATATATATGTATATATATGTATATATATGTATATACATATTAAATTATATACAAATGTATATACAAACACTTTCGTTAATGCCGAAATGCACTTAGTTGGCTGAATGGCGTTCGCGAAGGCTAAATCGATTTCAGACAACTACCGAACAAATGAAATGGAAGTGATCGATTGCATCCGACAACTAGTGCGTAAATGCAAATCCTCGATCATTTGTACCTCTCTTTTCGCGCACAAGTGAACACACTTTCCGCGTTTGCAAGTCATTCACGTCGTTTTCGACGACTAGTTTGAGTCCGAGCAAATTTAATTTCTCGAGCGCAATTTATTAATCGTACCGGTGTCACGTTACGTAAATAAGCATCATGATTGAAAACATTATTAACATAGCGCAAACTTTGCTAATTATAATTTACTCAATTTCATTATCGTGTAATAATTGCGTAATAATTTCTCTCTCGTCATTTGCACGGTAATTCGTTCTTATTTTCTTACGCTATCATACAACATTTTATCCTTTACTTGTTAACATAGATTTAAAAATATTCCCCATGCATTGTGACGATAATGCGATGAGCTATCGATAAGAATTGCAATATGGCATTGTCTTGCAATTACATCGCTCACGTGTCCTTGAGCGTTTCGCGAATGCCAGGTGCGTCCGTCAAATTTTCGTTAAAGGAAGAGATGACAGGCGTGCCGGACGCACGTGTTGGGACGATTGATTAGGGTCATCCCCGCGGCAACCGATGGACAAACACAAATAAACCGCGTAGGATACCACGGAGCCGTCTGCAAATCGCTCTGTCAGTAGACAGCTGACCGGTTTCTACGCGCAATATCCGTGTTTTAGATTTTCGGAGCTTGTACGGTGGATCCGAAAAGAAAAAAAAAAGGAGGGGAAAAAAGGGAAAAAAGAAAATTGCCTCGGGGGAAACGTCCCGACGATGCTATAACGACGACAACCACTACACGTTCCCACCCTTCGAGCCGTAACTGGACCGCGAAGGCCGCGCTTCCAGCTCGGTGTCCTACTTCTGCACACAACGCCCGCTTCGGGACTATCGGACTAACGCTATTAAGCTCCCAGTATAAACGCAGTTGCACTTACTTAATCGCGGCGAGTTTTCCTAAAGCGGCGAACTTTCGCGCTAAACAAGCGCCGATTCCGATGACACCTTCGATATTCTTCGCGTACAACGAACGAAAGGACGCTGATAAGTGATATTGCGCGACCCTCGAAGTTTCTATCTGTATGTTTCTATCTACAAGTATTTTCCTGTGAACATTTTTTGAATTGATTACTTTCGCAATTTTCTTCGACATCCGGCCATCGCTTTCGGTGACTAAGCGAAGCTTTCAATTACAGATTGGAAAATGCTCGCGCGCCCGTATGCGATCATGCCATTATATCCTTGTATCGCTAAAATTTGTATGCTGTGCGTTCTGTCGACAATTTTGTCGGTCCACGGATTACAGGATACGTCAGCCAGAGGCGACAAACAGAAGCCGATACAATCGCGACCGGTGAATCTTTGTAGGTTTCCTTTGTGGAAGTTTAAAGTAAAAATCTTTTGTAGTGCAACATATTTTACGGTTGATGTACCGTAAAATATCATTGTCTACTACGTTAGCAGAAAGAAAATGTTTTTCCCATCTCTGGAACCCACTTCGGACAGTCTACAATTTGCGACAGAATTCGAAATAGAATTCTATTTATAATTTTATACGCCGCGCTACACAAAAAATATTTGAGACATTAAAACACAATACATTTATATACAAACATATAAAGAAAACATATATAACACATAGTGTGTATGTTAATTTTTAAAATATTTTCTCCATTACACGGCACATAGAATTATAAATAGAACCCTATCTTGAATACTGAATCACGAATTATAGATCGTCCGAAGTGAGGTTAAGCATGAGCGGAAAAAGTGCGAAAGCAAGGACAACTTTTTTAGGCCGTTCCATTAAGCTTTCCTACTGATCAAGCACTTTGATAACTATTTCTGTTTCATATTTTCATAGCATAGTTGCAGTTTCTCATTAACGAACCATTTAAAGAAGTAGAGACATTACGTCCTCCGTAAGATGTTACGTCGTAAGATTAATTATCTGATTTTGACACTTACCTTCGTTTTTTTTACATGCCACGTCCGGACGCGATGCTTTCTCCTTTAATTAGTTATAATTAATGGGCTGAAGAACGAGGCGGCTAACGTGAGCGTGACCAGCGCCTTGAAAGCTCTGAGAGAAAGATATCCGGGTCATCTGGGCAATGTGTGGTCCGTGCAGATCAACGAGTCCGATTCCAGTGAAAGCCTTGAGATGATATGTAACTCCTGGAACGCGGCCGTCAGCAGAGGCGGCGTCGCCGTCCCGGATCTCGTCCTGGACGTGACGATGACTAATTTAGGCGCGGAAGCTTCCAGCTCGTTCACTGCAGCCATGGGAATACCAACTTTGTCCGCTCAATACGGCCAGAAGGACGATATCCGGTACTGGAGAGACCTGAACACCGATCAAGCAAACTATTTGATACAGGTACCAACTTACACATGTCAAAAATTTAAATTATCTACAAGTGCCAATATGTATTTATAAATTAAAGCGGGATATATAAATACACTGGCGAAGTTCAGATCAGATATTTTTTATAGGTTATATGGAAATAAATCAGTTTCCGCGAAATTATTATAAAAATATGCATTGTTATAAAAATTTAAAAAGTAATTAATTTTCTACACAATGTTTTTTCAGCATACTTTTTCCGGCAATCTGGCATTTTTTTATTCTTAAAAAAATTTTTTTTAGGAGATTACACTGAGTCACATCGCAGCTTAAAGTCCATAATCGTTAGAAAAGCGTTTTATCACATCCTCCACGCAGATCCTCTTAGATCTCTTTTTTAATAAGTGTAATCTGATAGCGTCAGATCTTGTGGTAAAGCGCTTTTGTAACGATGACGAGCTTAAGCTCGCAACCGGGTAATTTTTCAACTAAAAATTTTTTTCCACGGAAAAGCTGCCAGACCGCTAAAAGGAATATTTTAAATAACATAATTATTAGAGAAATGAGCTGTTCGAATTTTTATAAATTATTTCTTTATAACAACTTTTGGTTCGCCCTCGTATATTCTAAAGCGTATCTTATCGCTCCGCTAGCATAATTTTATGTATCTCGCTTTGTATAATTTAAAGATACGTACAAAATAAAGAGGGGGAAGGGACACCTTTATAAATCTTCACATTTCAGAACTTAAAAAAAATCCGATAATCAGTTTGAAATGAGTAAAGTGCAAAGTTCTTATGTTTAATTTGTAAAGTTTCAGTCTTTCGAAAAGCTTTTAGAAATCTTTTAGACATCTCTCGTAATTCTGCACTGTTTGCGATTTCGCTTCAGGTAATGATTCCGGGTGATCTCGCACCCGAGGTGATCCGGCAGCTGGCAATCCAGATGAACATCACTAATGCCGGCATTCTCTTCGACCAGAACTTCATTATGAATCACAAGTACAAGAGCTTGTTGTTGAACGTGCCGACCAGGCATGTTATCAATCCGCTGCTGGGCTCGGTCGACGACGTGAAAGAGCAATTGACAAAATTGCGGGATTTGGATGTGGTGAATTATTTCCTTTTGGGCGAGGAAAGTACTATCAACACGTTGCTCGACGCCGGACAATCGTTGAGCTTCACCGGGCGGAAATATGGCTGGTTTGTCGTTACCTTGAACGAAGAATTATGGCCGAGCTGCGCGTGCGAGAACATCAGCGTGCTGTTTCTGAAGCCGCAACCGCCGGCGACGGGGAATCAGAGTCAAGCAGAACCCGATCTGAAGGCGACGTTGCCGAAACCTTTTATCACATCCGCCTTTTACTATGATCTGACTCTGTTGGGCGTGAATGCGATGAAATCGGCCCTCGACGACGGTGATTGGCCCTTGGAACCAAGTCACATCGACTGCAACATCTTCAATGGGACAAACACGCCATCCAGGGGCTTGGATTTCTTGGCAAAACTGACGGAGACCTCGAAGAACATGACGCCGACGTATGCCGGCATCGCTTGGGGCAACGCAAACGGAGAGCATCACGCGGACTTCAAGATGATCATGTATCTCGTGAAAATCGAGCGAGAGAAGCTTGCATCGAGAATCGAGAGCGGAGAGTGGCAGGCGGGCATCGATATGTCTTTACAGGCGAGTTCTCGAATACGAGAAATGTAGCGTGAAAATTTTGGAGCATAATGTACTAATCGTATTTTAATATCTCGTAATCAATTTGTTGAAATTAATTGTTGAAATTAATTGTCTCGAACGCGGTGCGGTTAATTGCGTAAATACATCACAACGTGCAATTTTCTTCCGCCGCTTGAAATACGAGGGTGCTTTCAATATTGCGGCCTTTTCGATTTTTCCTCCAATTCTCGAGTGCCACATCCAAGGATTATTGATCACGCTTGACCGTCGCAGCTGACCGAGCAGCATTTATGCGATCGATCGCTCATTTTTTTCTTTTTAATTTATATTGTACTACCCTTTCTCGTGAATACGTTCGGAAATAATTCAGAGAAAAACAAATTGATTGCCGCGCCGAGTTGCATTAAAATGCTGTCGGCATTTATTTGTCCTTTTATAAGCTTCTCTGTTTTAAATAACTTTTAAATAACTGTTCGTTTGCGAGAAATATTCATATTGCATAATTGGTGTGGCATGATACATAGGAAGACTTATAAATAATCAAAATTCGCAAAACCCTAAAATTATTTAGAAGCCAAATTTGCATACTGCGCATGTTTAATGTTCTTCTCAAAGAGCACGCATTAATACATAGATGCAAAATGTGGTAATACGGAACACTCATTAAAAAGGACGTTTTTGTGTGTCGAAAAAAAAACATTACTTCGATGTAAGCTGTTCTTTTATTAATATCTCTACTGCGTATCTATCTCGCCATCGCTCTCTCTAATGACGCTCGCTTATCTGTTCTGGAAAAAAAAGTTCAAGGTAGCGAAAGCGAGAGAAAGAGAGGTAGAGTGGATGATTGTACTTTTATTTACTCGCGTGTTATTTCATGTCGCAAAAGTGTCACGAAAGCGTCACAAGAGCACATCAGACTCGCTCATCGCTCATTTACATATTCAGTCTCGTTTCGCACCACAACGGGTTTCGACTCGATATACCGCGTTTCTCACCCTGCGTTATCCTCGATTATCCACTCTCCGAAAGAGATCAGAAATTTGTATTTTGCGTAGGTCACCAACGAGGTCGTCATGAACAATAGCGCAGTGACGAGCTACCGGGTGGTCACCGTACAGCATTCGCCCTTTATGATGTACAACAACGCGACCGGTCAGTGGTACGGCTTCTGCATCGACCTGCTGAACGCGATCCGCGAAACCGTGCCGTTCGAGTACGAGATACGCGAGGTGGAGGACGGGCAATACGGCTCGCTGAATGAGAACGGCAGCTGGAACGGCCTGATAAGGGAACTGATCGACAAGCGCGCCGACATCGCCCTAAGCTCGTTCTGGGTAATGGCGGAACGGGAAAAGGTCGTGGACTTCACCGTGCCGTATTACGACCTGGTCGGCCTGACGATCATGATGCAAAAGACCAAGATGACGACGTCGCTCTTCAAGTTTCTCACGGTGCTCGAAAGCGAGGTCTGGCTCTGCATACTGGCGGCTTACTTCTTCACCAGCTTTCTCATGTGGCTGTTCGATCGCTGGTCGCCGTACAGCTACCAGAACAACCGCGAGAAGTACAAGGACGATGACGAAAAACGGGAGTTCAACTTACGTGAGTGCTTCTGGTTCTGCATGACTTCTCTGACCCCGCAGGGCGGCGGCGAGGCGCCGAAGAATCTGTCGGGGAGACTAGTGGCGGCTACATGGTGGCTCTTCGGCTTCATCATCATCGCGTCTTACACGGCCAACCTGGCGGCTTTCCTTACGGTGTCCAGGCTGGAGATACCTATCGAGACATTAGAGGATCTTAGCAAGCAGTACAAGATACAGTACGCGCCTGTATACGATTCGCCGGCGTACACTTACTTCCAGAGGATGGCGGACATCGAGACACGGTTCTACGAGTAAGCGATTGTTCCTCCGTAGACTTACGTCTAGTTTTTTCTAAATATGTTTTAAATTGTTGCAGAATTTGGAAAGACATGAGCCTGAACGATAGTTTGTCCGACGTGGAAAGGGCGAAACTCGCCGTCTGGGATTATCCTGTTAGCGACAAGTATACGAAAATGTTCCAAGCGATGAAAGAGGCTGGCTTTCCGAATACTATGGAGGACGCGCTAAAGCGAATTCGACGCGAGGGTCAGTACTCGAATAACGAGTTTGCTTTCATCGGCGATGCCTCGACCATCAAGTATTACACTATGACGAATTGCGATCTGACTCAAATCGGAGAAGAGTTTTCGAGGAAACCGTACGCTATCGCTGTCCAGCAAGGATCGCCGCTCAAGGATCAATTTAATAATGCGTACGTATAAAAACATTCATCTTCTTTCAAAGAGCAATCTCTTCAAGTTAATTTTTTTGCAGGATTCTCATACTGTTAAATAAAAGAAGATTGGAGAAATTAAAGGACAAATGGTGGAAACATAATCCCGAGAAAAAACAATGCGATTCGGATAATAATCAGAGTGACGGTATCAGTATTCACAATATCGGCGGCGTGTTTCTTGTAATCTTTGTAGGCATCGTCTTCGCTTGTTTCACGTTAGCTTTCGAGTATTGGTATTATCGGCATCGTGCGAAAGTTAGCGAATTCCAGAAATCCACGTCACCCAAATCGAAGATAATGAAGGCAATTAAACCGATACGATTCAATTTACATCCAGCTCCTACGCATGGGTTTCAATTGTCACAGTTTAGATCGAGATTCTAGGTCTTGATATATGCAGGATTTCTTGTGGAATCTAGAAAATAAATATAACAAAAATAAGTATAAAAATGTCGCATAAGATCAAGTTTTTTTAGACGCGAGTCGATTTTCTATATTAATAAAATATTGGATTTATGAATTTTTGATGTGATAGTAAGTGAACAAGTAACAAAGTTATTACAAAGTAAAATAACGCGACATTGCTTAACTGTAATATTTTCATAGGTCAATTTGCATGTTTTTAGCATATACTCTACCTGTTTGTAATTTTAATGTGACCTGAAAGAAGTGTGTAAATAAATGTATAAAAAAATGGAACATTCAAACCTATGCAAACTTGTAAAATTTTCATTTGCAATGCATTTATTTGTCCTTGTCCGTACATTATTTCGTACAAAGATATTCGCTCGTCTTTTTTTCGTTCTTTTTTTACATTGCTTCCTTTGCGTCATTCCTTAAACACAGAACTGTTTACAAGTGACACATTCTTCCGACGCAGTAACACCTTTCAACATTCGTCCCAAAGACATCTGCATTCTAATAACATTTTTTGTATTTTTTTTGCATACCTGTCGCGAGGTAAGCATGCTCTCAAATTATACGGTTTTTACATGTACGTTCTCAGTTATTCGATTTTCTTAGGGTGAGCACAGGGAAAGCATTGGATATAAGGAAGATTTGGAGATGGGAAGGGGGGAGGGGGGTAGAGAGTGGAGGGATGGGAGTGAATTAATCTTCTAGAGAGTTAAATTATAATTAGAAGAATACGATTAAGATAATCCATTAATAATTACGAAAAACAACAAGAAAACAGAACAGCACTTCAATACCCGTTTAGCAATTCGTGCGGCGTTCAAAATAAGTACTCAACTGTCCTCTCGAATTTATCTCGGATTCCTCAAACTTTCGTGTTGGCTTCTTTTCTTCCCATTTTCAATAAGAGAATTAAATAAGTATATTCTTGGCCTGCACGTCGGGCAAAAAAAAACAAAAATTGCTGGCTATAATTTCCTACAAAATCAGCTACTAAGTTGTCTCCTCGAAATCACAAAGTAATCAACAACCTACAACTGAAATCACGTTGGCTACAAACTTCAACGTTCTCTCAGCGCTGAAACGCTGTCTGTAAGGTAAACACTTCATTTTTTTTTTCTTATTTTGTTCCTTTCCTCTTTACTCGTCAAAGGGTTAATAATAATTATCTAAATGGATAGTTAACATCCTCGCGTTTCGCTTTTGTTTCGATTGCATGTTGCTTATTACGAGTGACGATGGGGTTTACTCGTGCCTTCTTGGATACATGCATAACAAATTCCACATGCCAAGAGGACCCCCATTCATGCTTCTATGATTCGCTTCATCTCGCGAAAAAAAAAGTATAGCTAAAATCTCCGTCATGTAGCATTTTAGCAGCTTACATCCAGTTTACAAGGTCAACGGACGTAAAGTCGTCAGCGGTTGGCATCCGAAGCTGCTACTGTGCCTTCTATAAGAAATATATGCATAATTGATTAATGTAATCAGATATAATTATCTATAACTATAACAAAACTAAACTGTGTTCGTAAAGTTTGTACGCAGGCGCACTATCAGCACATTTCAGAATTGCAAATAAAGCTGTGACAGTCACTGCAGCGGATAGCAAATAGCAGTTAGGACTAGCGACAAATTCTTTGTTTTCTAGCATTTTTTTTAATATAAGTATAATTATAAAGAAAATTTAATCTCGTTTTTGATACGTCAATCAAACGTGTTTTCCTGTAAGGTATTTTTAATATCAATATCACATCACGCACATCAATATCTATTTTTAACAAGGATTATAAATTTGTAAATGTCAGTTATTTTATTTTTTTTATTTTTTTTTATTAAATCAAATTAGATGATATATATTCTAACATCAAACTAGCTTCCAAATGATACGTATACCGATAGCCTAACTTACACAGAAAAGAAAAAAATACCATTAAAATTGCCTAATTTATACTAAAAAGAAAAAAAAATACATCTAAAGTTCATTTTCCTTCATCAATATCTGTAATCCAGAGAGACCAAATCAATTTTTTCTATTCACGCGTAACACGTCTGCAATACACGTGATACATGTATCTTAGCTATATTTATTACCTTTCTTTATCATTGTGCAAAGATACATTCGATTGTACCCAGCCAAGTTGATCCAAGGCAAAAGAATTTTCTTCAATGTTTTTTTTCTCTTCTGTAATTTTAGCTATATCCAAGTCATCAGGATGTACGATGCATATAGGGTGATCATCGTAAATACGCTCTATCTGGTAGAGAATATAATTCTGCCACATAATATCCTCTTCCGATATCTCCGGTATTTCTGGAATCGCCGGCTGTTCCGGAGAAGGCGATCGTATGGGATCGGTTTGGACGCTTTTATCGCATCCTTGTCGCACTCGGAATTTCAACGTGAAATTCGGAGACGCGGATGACTTTCGTGACTCTTCTGGATTCTCCCGGTACTCCATGTATGGGGTTTCGCTGCCAGGAAGATACAGCAAATTTCCTGACTCGGATCTGCGATACGCAATACGTTCTATCGTGTTGTTCACGGGAAATGTCGTCCCATCTGCCCATTTATCCTCTTTTATCGGACGAAAATGCGTACGCTCAGAAGTCAAAAGATCCTCGTCTGGTTCTGGAAGATTAGTAACCTCCAAACTCAAACGGGGCTCCTTGTGAACTCCAACTGGAGTTGAGCATGACGGAAAGAAGCAGCTAACTGTCTCAGGGCTAGGACTCCAGCTTGGAAGTAAGCTTTTGTCAAGTTTCCAGGATATCCATGAAGATTCATCTATAATTACAAACGCGATTGATTTATATTACATTCGGCAATGATATATTGGTATAAGATTTTTCGTTATTTAATAAGCAAAATATAAAATTCTTTTTATTTATAAATATCATTATAAATCTCTCTTTTCTACCCTCCCCCCCCCCCTCACTAACTAATATATTGCATGTATCCGAGATCTGAAGATTTTACCTGTTTTATCTTTATTGCTACATTCGTCTGCATTATCTTCGATGCTGATTAGATTAATATTCTGTGAAATAATCGGTGATTCGTCATCCAGTAATTCTTGGGGTGTGTCAGTAGCGCAACCATTGTCTGAGGTGGGTAAAGTAAAGATTGTCTTGGTAGTGTCTGCGGGCCAAAGAGGTCCAGAAGGAATGGAAAGCGTTGGAGCTGCCCATATGGTTGAATCTAAATTTCCATATGGTGCTTCCCATATAGAAGCCGTTTTCGATGCTTGCCATATCGAAGCTGTGATCTGTGCATCTGGTATTGAATTCCAAAGTAGCTCTAATTTCTCAAACTTTGCCTCTAACCGCGCTAACTCATGGCGTTCCCACTCGTTGTTTCCAAATACTCTTTCCCGTTCCCGCTTCATTGCTTTAGCAAATCCAAAACCTTCTTCTTTTTCCGATCCCTGTGATTCATTCTAAAAAAAAAGGAACAAAAAGAAATAGAATGTAATTTATCACATCAACGTGAAAAAACCTAAAAGAAAAGTCTGAAAAAAAGTAAGAATATCATTGTGCTTACAATAGACATTTTGGTCTTTTTATTTCGAGCTCTATTATTTCTGTTATTATGCAGATTAATTTTGTTGTTTTTATTATTATTGTTGGTGGCAAAATCTTTATCTTTCCGCGAAGAAAACTGTTTAATAGATTTAGATTGTAAGGCTGGAAATGCCGCGTAGTATCTGAGAGCTCTATCACGAGGTGTAAGTGCTTCTAAATTCGTTTTGGGCTCATGATTGGATTTTATAGATTCGTCTTTTTCATTATGCAAGCTTCCTCTTTCCAATTCCTTTAGTTTCATGCACAGTTCATCAACCAGCTTCTCTACTCCATATTTCTATAAGTAGAAAAATCGTTTTATATATCTATATATAAAACATAATGTATCAATTGCAGGAGAAACCGCTGATCAAAATAGTGTACACGATTTGTTGAGCATTATTGTAGAATTTATGTAACGCCCATATCCTTGTAACACTACGTACGGACTAGAGCATTTGCCGTAACGTAACAAGCGTTTTGAACAAATCATTGTTCAGTGTTCTGTTCTTGGTTTTTCTTCCGACTATTTCTGACTTCGGATTGAACTCGTGAGTTGTAACAAGCTTTTGTAACAAAACCGGTAAGCCAGAATAAAAGCGGGAAGAGATACCGCTCAAATAACACTGCCGGCTCCTAAATAAAGAAATGTTTGCGAAGCAACACTCGGGTACTGTACCCGCCAGTGCAAACGGCGGGTACCTGAGTGTTATCCCTTTTCGCTTTTCTTTTGGCTCGCCAGTTTTATTACAAAAGTTTATTAAAACTTGTTTCAGGTCAGAAATAGAGATCGAATCGGACAGAAAGTTGAACCAAGTCTGTTCGAAACACTACTACGTTACAGCAATGTTTTATAATCTATATGTTATGAACAAAGTGATAAATGAGACATTATGCATAATGCCGTAGACCAGTCGGGCAGAGTGATAAATAAATAAATAAATATATATATATATATATTATATTTATTTTTATTTATATTATCTGGTTAAAGCGATAAATTAACAAATATTTATCACTCTGTCCGACTGGTCTCGGGCATTATGCATAATGCCTCATTCATCACTTTGGCCATAACATGTACATGGCTTTAAGCAGTGCCTAAGTAATGCTTTTATCTTTTTGATTCTTTCTATTCCGAAATTTTTTTTTATTTTCAAAACTGTTTTTCTATTTTTTTTTAGATTAACTTGCACATTTATTATATACAATTATATTATATTATATTCAAACATCTAGGAAGTTTCTCAGAGTGTAAAAAAGGAAACTTCCAAGCATTAACAGAAATCAAATTGAAATCTTTGAATTACTAGCCACCTATTTAATTTAATATAATTTTCGATCTTCAAACGCCAACTTGCAAACTACGATATTTGAAATATATATCGTTCACTTATACATGCATTTCTTTATAAAATATTTTTGATATATTTTTAGTAAAGTCCATTATATTGCTCCAAGTTTTGTACACCACAATGAGTTCAGTGGTTTACTCCTTGTCAACTTAGAGAGCAGAAATTGAAAAACTTTATCTTAATAAAAATTATATTTGAAACTTACATCATCAGCAGCACTTGTCAAACAGTGCATAACAGCTCGTCGTTGCTCTCCATTGCCATGTGTTGGCAGCTTTGCTTTAGGTCGGGCACCCAAGCGACGTCCTATGCCTCTATCTAACTCAATGGCCTCTTCCGGAGGACTTAGGGCCGAGTCGGGGCAGCGCAACAGGCTGAGCACATAACGCGTGTACGCAACTGGGTCAATTCCCAATGCGTCCAGGCGTGTCTCAAGCCACTGGCGCAACTCCTCCTCGGCCCTCGAGCCAAAGACTTCACCCCCTCCAGGGGACGTCGCTATCCCGACCAAATGCAATGCCGGGTTCCTCATTCCCTCTTAATAGATCTCCTCCTAGACCCAAGAATTCTAACCAACTCCACTACCTCCAGGGTGATCATCTCTCCTGGAAAATTATAATTGTTATTTTGATATCTTAATAGAAACATATAAAAACAGATTAATTTGCGTGAATTATAATAAACTCACTTATATACAATATGATATTATGATATTTTATTGTCTTTTAATGTTTCAATTTTATGGAATCCACCACCTAACACTCGGGCTTATCAAATCGTGTCCCTTCTGTATTCTTACTTTGAATTTCTCAGATTAGGTTACTTAATTGCCCGAAAATGTTATTAATATTTCTTAATTGTTTGTTACGTTGTTTAAAAATTACTTAGTTCTTGTGCATGGGTGGTGGATATATCATTGAATTGAGGCTGGCAGGTCTTAGTGAAGGATAACAAGTATAGTTTCCTTCCCATTTTGACACTGTAAGTAAAAGCAGAATATATCATTTTGCTGAAAAAATTATACATTATTTACAATTAATATTTTTGGTTATTACAAATCCAAGTAATATAGTTCTTTTTATTTTAACCTTATTTGTACGATTGTACTTTTCATAAGAATTTATTTCTATAATTTTATAATTTTCTATGTTGTAAAAAAATTAAATTATAATTACAAAAAAATTCGCAAATATTTTTCATCTTATTTGTATACTTTTAAATCAGCTCGCGTTTAATGTTTTTTTAAAATATCTATTTACATTTAATTAAAGAAATACGAAGAAAATCAGCAATTACAAACACGTGCTATGCGTAGCACGAAATTCAAAATAACGAATGGTGTCAATATACATGGAAAAACAGAAACCAAGGTCCAGCAGCACAAAAGTCGTATGTGATGTACAATGTACATGTAAATAGAACCGCGCATTGCAACGGTACACATGTCTGGGACTATTGTAATCACTGTCAAAGGGACGTGTTATCTATAGATACGCAGATACATACAACAGAACGCAATATACATCGGTTCTCGTGTTATCTCGCCAAAAACTGTGAGCGCAAATTTAGGCGAATCACGCATTTGTGGGCGCGTGTCTGTGCGCACGGGTTGTTGGCAAAGAGACCCTGAACGAGTATAATGCAAATAACCTTGCCGATTGCGCTATAGTTTCGCCTGAGTCATAGCTCCGCTTGGAACGCAAAGCCCGTGGTGGTGTGACGACGTTACGAAACGCGACTCGCAATGCCAGTGCGTTTCGCGCCAAGACACGCGAATCGTCGTGCTCAGATACAGATAAATTTCCTATCAGAATAATGAGAAATTTAAAACTTTTAACGTACCTGCATGCCTCGAGAGATGATTTTCACCCCGGCCTCTTCTACACACCCCACTCAGTAAAAAACATGGCGTGCTACTAAAGCTTCCCCCAAATTCCATAGAGTCATAACTATATAATAGATGTAAACATCGTTTCAACAGCAGCCGGTCAGTGCCACCTTACGTTGAAAACCAATACTGACGTCATTGTCAACTCTTAAGACGATTGGTCGCAATCGTTTGTCGACTGGACAAATATTAAACACACTACATGGTACCTTATTTGCATATTTATTCATTTTCTAATTACATATTTAATACTTTAGCGCGTGTCTGTTTAAGTTCTTTATTGTAATGCATGCATAAAAATATTTGAAAACTACTTGAGCATCAGAGTATCGATCATGTAATTTTTCCCTAGAAGAGGAAACGTGAAAATTTCACGTAAATTCCACGAATCGAATTGTTGAATCAAATTCATATAAAGTTTTTATTTTTCACGTTTCCGCTCCGAGGGAAAAATTACATAATCAATGTTTAAACTATGCAACATGTTGCAACAATTCGCAAGAGATCTAGTTAACTACTAAAAATGTACCATATAGCATACAGCATTTCTAGTAATTTACTACACGCTTGCAAATAGTTGCAACAAGTTGCATAATCTGAGCATTGATCATGTAATTTTTTCCTAGAAGCGGAAACGTAAAAAGTGAAAATTTTACGTAAATTCGACGAATAGGAATTGTCAAATTTACATAAAAGTTTTTATTTTTTACATTCCCGCTCCTAGGGAAAAATTACATGCCCTGATACAGGCTTTGGCGATTTTCTCTACGTTAGTGACTTCTATACAGTAGTGCTATCTGCATTTCAAAATTGCAATTGTGCATTATCACATTCAGTCGGTAAAAGATACTACTGTTTGGTGTTTGTTCATGCTACAATTTGTATCACAAAGCTTCAACAAAAAACATAAAGAAATTTATAAATAAAAATTTTACATTCTAAAAATGTTACAATTTTAAATATTATTATTACATTATTATAATTTGATTTTATTTGTTAAAGCAAAACTGTGTGTATCATTTTAATTTGAAACACATAGTGCATACACACTCTACAAATTTGTCTAGATTTATTCATAAAATTTATGTTACGTACATTATAAGTTTTCAGCACTGCTAGTGCATTTTGGAATATCGCCTAAAAGAAGCGCACGTAGCGCTCCTAGCGATCATCGATATATCGAAGTTCTGCGTTACATTCACGGCGTGAAAAGTGAAAATTAAAAAGCGCGGTTTAATTGTTAATATTGTGTTGTATTGTGCGTAATTATACTCAAATAAGTACATATTTTTGTTAATTGCATTTTTCGATGGAGCTGATGTGTTGCAATCTAAAGCGAAGCCTGCAGCGAGTAGAGCAAACTACAATACCCTATCAATACTCTGGTAAGAACAAAGTTTTTTTTATTACTTAACCTCTTTTGGTTGTAAAGTTTTCTTTGGATTCGTTAATCTTTAGCTAACATAATGCCCTTCTCTTAAATTTTACAAATTTATATATCTATATATGTATCGGTTTAATTTTTGTTTTTTACTAATATACTGCATCTTTAAACTATAACTTTCAATATTTGATAATTGGATTAGCATTAATATACATATAGCGAAGCAGCACAGTACTGCAGATAATTTTATCTCTATGAGAGAAAATGCGGTTCGAAAAGGATTAAATAAGTATAAATACGATAGCACACACATATAGAATTAAAATCATTTATTAAATATCTAGCTTATAAAATGTTTATCGAAATATTTATGCAAATTTTTGAATAATTATTTACGCAATATATTTCATATGTAATGTTTTGATCAAAATGGAAATAATTTGTGCATAACATAAATATATAATAATTAACATATATAACATATAACTGACACAATAATTAAAATATATATTAATTTTTTTAGATACAGTTGAGAGAAAGAAAGCATACAATTAGTTAAGGCTGACAACTAACAAGGTGAAAAACAAAAGACAATAAGGGACAACAACGACTGGTGAGTACATTTATTCATTATGCTTTAATAATTACGCAAAATACTGATATCACTTTCCATCTATTTATTTGTCAACATTTATTATATCAGTCCCTGACTAACTATCACCCGTTAATAACTTCACAATTTTAGTATAAAGATTTGTGTCTCCAAATGATTTCAGAAATCTATTATTAACAGTGGTCTGAAATACCCTATATATTTTACATTATTTTTAAGTATATTATGTTAATGACATTAAAATAAAGCAAATTAAACTTACTGGCACAATGCGCAGTAGCGGAATTATTGTTCACAAATTGATCTATAACATGCAAAGTATATCTAAATTATAATAGCGTTTGAAATAATTATTTCTCAAATTAAGCACATTAAATTTTTTGTTTATTTCTCTTTTTTTTATGCAAATATCTAACAAAGAATTATATATTTATATACAATAATCATATATAAATATTAAAAATTGCAAATCTTTTATTGAATATTTCAAAGTTTCTATATGCGTTACATTACATTATATTTTACGTGCAACATTTTGCAAATAATGGATAACAAATAAATGATTACTTATCTTAAAATTGCTCTGTCAATGTCGACTGTTAAAACCTTCCTGAGCCTCCTTCTTTTCTCAGTTTTCCTTGTAGTTTTTCAAAGTGCTCACACGCGTTTACGACGCGACGAAAATTGCACGATATTTTTAACGGTACTCTCAACACGTACTTTATTCGGAGAAAATAAAACTTGAATTATTGCACGGATTACACGTTTGACTCTGCTGCGTCCGTAACAAGTAACGACGTGAATGATAAGATCGAAGACTACCGGAAATAATAAGAATAGTACTATTGGAAAGAATAATGCACCGATACGATGGAACGATCTACCTTGTTGAAGTACCATCGTGCGAGTAATAAAGATGCAATAAACATTGAAAAATAATTCGACTTTGTCTCTGATATGTTTATTGTACTCTTATTATTTGCACGGCGGCATTTTATACAGGGCAAATAGTTCCGTTCATCGCGTTATCCTCTTCAATAAAACCATTTTTATTATTTTCTGCAGTTTTCGATCTCATTCTTTCTGTCGTTATTTGTTATGGACGCGACAGAGTGTTGAACGTATAATTTGTGCGATGATATTCGAATCTTACTTTGTCTAAATAACAAAGTACGCGTCGAGAGTGCCGTGTAAAATATCGTGTGACTTTCGTATTCGCATCGCAAACGCGTGCCTTGAAAAACTGCAAGGAAAACTGAGAGCAAGAGGAAACTCAGAAAGGGCATCAGGCGCCGGCAGTACAATTTTATAATATAGTAAAAATAGTTATAGTAAAAAATCGTTTATTCATTATCTGTTATTTGCAAAGTATTGCACATAAAATAGTATGTAATATAAACGCTGCTTTGTATCTACAGATCAATTTGTGAACAACGGCTCCGTTGCTGTGCATTGTGCCGGCGAGTCAGTTCATTTCTTTTATTTTGATGTCATTAATAAATTTAAAAATAATATAAAGTATACATATAATTGCCAAAAACTGTAGTTTGACAATCACATCTTTCTCTTGCAGTTTGCAATATCACAAAGAAAGAATATACAAAAATTACTTTTTTTCCTCTATTTTTTTACAAAATTGTTTTTGACTATATATATTTATACAATTTATATTTAAAAATAT